GAAAAAGCTTTGTGTATATATATATATATATATATATATATATATATGTATGTATAACAATTTAATATATATATACTTTGCCACCCACAACATGAAATGGTAAACGGCTCAATTGGCGCAGGAGTTAGCCTGCCTCAATTCTAACACAAGTTCAAAGCTCACTAGCAGCTCTATTTTTTGGCTTGCTCACAGGTGTCGCTTTTTCTTTCTTTATTTTTTTTTTCTTTTCTTTTATGTCTTTTTCATTAATGCGTGAAGGGCATTAACTTTTTTTTCTTCCATTCATTTTTATTTATTTACTATTCTAATTCAAATTGACCCCTTTTCATAATTATTTTTTAGTAAAAACTTTCTCTTTCACTAATTATTAATCTCTTGATATGAGTGTTACATGTTTATTCTTTATCAATTAATGAGTATTGAATTATGAACGTGACATAAATATTATTAAGAATATATTTAAACAGTAGTTTTAAAAATGATGAATATTATTATTAGAGTTTTTTTAATTTTAAAGGTTCTTTCGATCTTCACCGACGTTCTTGCTAAGTAACATGACTAGGTTGAAACTACAATTTTATTATTTTCCTGCTACATATTTGCAACAACATATTAAGTCAATGGAATATGAATATATTAAGTTAATACTATTGGATGGTTTATTCAAGCTCAAATTTTAATGTGAAAAATCTTTTTTTTTCCTCAAAGTTTCAGCGAATAAGACCTCTAATTCTTAAAAGGAAATAAAAATTGAATTGTTTAGTTATCTCGAAATATCTAAAAGAAAAATATTACTAACATGCATGTTTGATTGATTTGTTTATAAAAATGGAAAAATATTAATAACCCGAATAGTAACCCAAAATTAAAGCAACCGATCATTTTATTTTACTTGAACGATGTGACACCCACAACCTCCAAATCCTAGATCACATGAGATCAACATTAGTGTTCCATTCAAGTGATGTAGCCATTTGGCAAGGTGATACGGTAAGGAACTGAAAGAAGAGTGATGTTTGTGGGACAAGATTTTACTGGAGTTACATGATTATGATTAGCACTTGAGTCTATGATCCAAGGATTATCAACTACACTAAACATATTACAAGCAAAGAAACAAAAATCAGACGTGTTTACCAAACATGCATAAATGGCAGAAGTAGAATTAGAGGTGCCCTGGTCAGAATATGTACACTCATCATTTGTTGCAGCACATGCATCATTTGAGTCAACTGCTCTGGTGAAAACTAGGCATAATATATTAATGTGTCATTTAACTTGACTTCAACTAATATTTATGTCCTCCAACTTTAGATATGCACAAGTAGACACTTAAACTTGTATAAAATTGAACAAATAGACATATTCGTGTTACATGATAGTTTTGTGTCCTACCTGGCGTCCTACGTGTAATATGTTATGCAGGACGCATGTCTACTTGTTCAAATTTTATTTTATTTTTGATGAAGTGAGATTTTACCAAGGCATCCAGTAGATGCAAAGATACAAAAAGGAGGGATCTGTCAGCTCAGTAAGAAGAAAAACTTATGAAGCTAAGGAAGGAGCTGACAAACTCCAGGCAGTGATCTAAGTTATTCACAGGGGAAAAGTTGGCCCAACTAAAAAGGTTGACCAAACAACTAGCCTTAAGCTTAGAAATTGGAGCTAAAACTCCGTCAAAATATCTCTTGTTTCTTTCATTCCAAATAACCAAAAAATACAAGTTGGGGTCATGATCCAAATTTTCCTGATGGATTTTCTAACTTCCATAGAGCTCCAACTAGTGTAGGCATCTCTGATATTGAAGGGTGTGGACCAACTAATACCAAAAAGCGCTAGGAACATGTTCCAAAAGTGTGTTGCAAAAGGGTAGTGAAGCATAAGGTGGTTGATGCTTTGTGAAGTTGACTGACACATGTAACACCTATTTTGGAGGGCATAAATGCCAGTTGAAGCCAAGTTAAAAGACACATTTATATACTATGCCTGAAAACTACACTCCCTTACTTTCAGGTTGGCCAAAGCCCAGACGTCCCTGAAATCTGTGATTTCATATCAACTTGATCTTGAGGATCAGTTCCCTACACACAAGCAGCAGCCCTCTTGTACTGATTTGAAGAGTTATTTGCACAATTGAAATTGTTTGGTAACTGTTTTGACTATTCTGATGAGCAAGTTTTCTACAGTTGCCAATGACACGATCAGGTTTCATACAATATCTGCAGAACATGTTAATCCTTTTGTTGTCAAAAGTTACGCTCTGTGAAAATGCATTCTGATTCCTTCTTCCCATCAGAAACTGATTTGGTCCCTGTTCCGCTTCCATTTTCTGAAAAAGTCTCTTTGCAACCACATGTACAAGCAGGGTAGGTAATTAATTGAATACGCAAGTTCGACCTGCAACTTCTTCAATTTGGAAAATATGAAGCAATGTTTGAAGATCCATGGAAAATAGAAGCAATTATTTTCTTATTTAGTGTACTTTAGTTCCATTTGCCTGTCCATATCACTTCTCGGTGTTCTTCCGTAGTTTTTCTGCACTTTATGTGTATATTACACTCTCCCTGATCTTAAGTTCTAGACTATTTAATATCCAGGTAAGCACCATGTCATTTGCCCTACACCATGCTTCAAACTAAGGATAATTTTGGGTTGGCGTACTTAGGTTCCATTAACAGCCCTAATTTGTTCTTGCAAGACAATCTATTAACATTCTCCTCCTCCACTCCCCATATCCAGTTCCATTGAACTTAGAAGCAACTAACACCTTCTCTGGACTATCAAGAGGATGCAAGTAGTATGGATCTGAAGATTGGATAGTAACAAGAGCAAAATCAACATTAGATGTGTTCGTAGCGAGATAAGACCTAAAACAGTTTCTCATCTTTAAGTTAAGACTCAAAGTCATCATTGAGTTTTCACATGGACTACTAATAGTCACTCATGTTTGCAATATTGGTGCACTTTTGGTCCTCCCCTAAATTTTTGCCTATTTTTTAACATTAATTTTGTTCATAATTTTATGTAAGGAATGTCTCATCGCCTTTTTATATATTTAGTAGAAATAATAACTCTATGTGAGAGAAGGTGAGAAGAAGAACTTGTTCTGTTCAGTATAAATATTACTGCAGCTAAACTAAGAACATTTTAACATGTGACATTGCAAGAAAAGAAAAAATTGTACTATTGCACGTAAAATCGTCGTGATGAACCTCTCGACTTTACCTGCAATACGATTTCTACTAAACAAAACAAGGTGTTTTTCTTCTCACAGTCTCTCACATGGAGTTATTATTTTTACTAAATATATAAAATAACGATTAAATATTTCATACATAAATTATGAATAAAATTAATGTTAAAAAATACGCAAAATTTTGAAGGAGGACCAAAAGTACACCAATATTGCAAATATGAGGGACTATTAATGCTCCATGTGAAAATTCAAGGATGACTTTGAGTCTTAATCCAAAGATGAGGGACTATTTTGGGCCTTTTCTATGTTTGTAGCAGTAGTCATATTTACCTCTGGGAGGCATTTCCTCATTCAATAATCAGGAAGAGGGGAAAATACCATATGTATCAATCCTAATCAGGCGAAATTAGGGAAACAAGCCAAAAACCGTAGACAAGGAAAAACAATACCTTCCTAGTCTGACTCAACCAAAAAAGGAACTCTGTTAAATTTGAAGAGCATACAGAAAATTTGGGAAGAAAATCAATTCCTCGTCTGCGCTGAGAAGCCTAATTTCGCGACTCACGGTTGTCTATGCAATTAACTTCCTGGCGAGGGTAAACTGATATGGAGAGAAGAAGAGCTATGCCAATCCAAGCTCTGACACCATGTTACAATACGGAATCTAAACAGTGAAAGCACAATCCAGTAGCCCTGGATTGAGGAGAGAAAGAAAGGAGTTGTATTGTTTCATCTTGGTAACTGAATCAATCGACCAATATGATGTGTATCTTCCTATATATAAGTGTAATCAAGCAAAACTAAAGTCCTTCCAACATAACTAAAATCATAGCTAAAACTTAAAAATATCAAAGTATCAATAGTTTTTCCACTTATATATTAGTTGTGTCTATCAACACATGCAGCAAGGTTTTATCTGGGATGAGTTATTTGCATATTACTTTTTCCTTAAACCATACTTTGTGGACTAAATAGAAGACAAAAATAACTTCCTTTAGTCTAAACAATCCTATCAAGTACAAATCGGATATATCAACACAAAACACAAGGCCACTGGATCAGAGGCACAAAGCAAAGGAAGGCAGCATACTTACTCAATTCGGACTATTAACTGTCAATGTCAAGACTCTATTTGTTGTAGCAAAGCAATGAACCAGTTTCATAACACCAGCAACAAAAAAGAGCAAAATTTGCATTCAAGAACGAAGCCAAAGATATACCACCATTGCATAAAATAGAATTTTAGGCAGAAGCTATCACACAGCATATATACATGTAACATTCAAGAATAAGAAGCTAAAACATTGAAGAACGCAAACTAAACTGATGCTAATCCTGCTGAACTCCAAGCATAAGAGCCTAACAAACCAATGAACTGAAACAATGTGTACCAATAACAAAAAGATCAAAAAATGAAATATTCATTATCACGAAAAACAAGGGTTAAACATTCCCTTGGTATTTTTCTGTTAGGTCATATCTGCAGAAATTAATATCATCCAACAACTATTACACCTCAATCCAAAAAAAATACCAAATAAGTATCATTCAACAACAACATACCCAGTGATCCCTACTGTTCTTTCTAGATCCCCTAACCTCACTTGCTTTTTGTGGGTAATATAAATAATTATGTGACATCAAACACTTAATATCTTAGCAAAAACTGAAACACCAGAACACATGGTTCCAAAAAGGAATAAGCTTAAGATTAGCCATGTTCTGATTTACTCACTGCAACTTATCCCCTGGACTGAAAGGCAAAAAGACTGACAAATTAACCAAGAAAAACTGCAAGAGAGCAAAAGACAAAACGGGGTCAACTATTTATGCAAAACAATGCTTCAGACACAAGAGTATCACAAAGTTAATCTTATTTGAGTAACTTTACAGGACATAAAACAAGACCAATGGTCGAGTGGTCAACCAAAGGTTGAACTCTCCATCAAAGTAAGCTCTAAAGATCAAGGAAGGCTTAAACAGCACTTCACACAGCACTATGAACATACTTTCAAGGGCTTCTATGAATGAGTTAATAAATTCTAACTGAACTTTTTTGTGAAACACCTGATCACGGGCAATTTTGTGAATCTTCCTATTCCCTCACCTCGCTTCAACATCAAGCAACATGTTAAAGTAAAAACAAGTGCAAGAACCCGACCTCCAATAAGCCCGACTAGAACAACCAAAAGGAGAGCAATATACATAGAACTATGCTCTCTTCCAGTCAATTCTTCTTCCCCAACAATGGTTGCCTTGTCGTCAGTACCATTAAATGATTCTTCAACACTAGCATCAGTAAATACTTCAGATGATTCTCCAGCACTACCAACAACCTCAACAATATCTGTCTTATCATCTATGCTACTTGCCACTGATGAAACTATACCATTGGATTGCATTTTTTGTTCACTGGAACCTTCAGTTTCCGTCTTTCCTTCAATAACATAATCTATCTCATCCAGGAGCATAGGACGCTCCAATGCTGAACCTTTTTTCTTTCTGAACTTCTTCGGAACAAGTTTCTTCATTTTCGATTTCATCTTTGCCCGATGAGATTTCTTTTCTTTGGATTCACAAAAATCATATCTAGATTCCTCTCCTTTCTCCATTACATCTACCCCTACACATTTCGCTTTTCCATCCCTAATACATTGACTATCCTCAACCTGTGCAACCTCAATTTCTTGAATTTGACATCCAAAGTCAGAGCAACCATCCTTTGACAGCTCCAAAGGTGCCTTAAAAACACAATCGTCTTCTTCTTCTTCAACCACTTTGGCTCTAAAGATGTCCCTTATCTCTTGTATCATCAACCTAACCCTCCTCTGTAGTCCAGAAAAGAAGCCATACAAACGTTCTCCTAAATATTCCAATAAAAACAACAAGAAGGCTGACATGGTTACCCCCATGACAAGACTATTCATCCCTAAAACCAAACCCGCCACGAGAAATATCTTCAAAACGGCCACCAACCCCTGATTCATACTGAGACAACCATTACCCCACTCTTTCTCGTTGTTCATCTTGCAAGATTCAGGTTTGTCACCTTCCACTTCAGCTACACGGATCAGAGGAGGAACTTCATTATCATCAATCATGAATTGAGAAGTGGAAGGTAAAGTTACAGACGAAGAGGGATGGGGAGGGGAAGGGGATGTAACGAACAAAGGGTCGTCGGCCATTTTTTTCTTGGAGGATTTCTTGAATCTTCGGCGATTCTTGACAACAAGATCGACAAGAGAAGTTGGAAAACCGGTTTCCACCATAAGAGGAGATCCACTTTGAGAATTTACATGGTCCTTCACCAATTGTGAAATGCTTGTTTTCTTCACCTTCTTCCATGGAAAAGGCATCCTTAATTATATAACCGATCGATCGAAAAAGGAGCTTTGAATCAAATTCAAAGTGTCACACTGCTAAAAACCCAGAAAATTGTGAAAGAAGAAAATCTGGATGAAGGTTATGAGTGTACGGACATGGCATGATCTTGACACGAAATTTGATTTTTAGGGAAAGAAGAAAAACTGAATGGAACTTGAGAGGTTTTTTTATTTTCTCAATGTCGTTTCGTATTTTTGGAGCCTGACTAAATTCTAAGTCCCACGTCCTAACAAAGACGATTTTATATCTTAGGGCAAAATACTTATCAAATACTTCATGTGTTCCTAATTATTTATTCATTTTTCCTTTTTTAGTTGTCCTTAATTACTTGTCAATTTTAATAAATCAAGAAATGACAATTTTTTTTATCTATTATATTCTTAATTAATTACTTAAAAAAAGGTAGAATATCTTGAAAATCTTAAGTTTTTAATTCATCTATTTCATAAAATAGAGGTAAAATTGTAAACTTACTATGTCAATTATTGTTTTCTTAATAAATATATCAATTCAAAAGTGAACAAATAATTAAAGACATGGAGTGGTAATTACCACTTTACCCTAACCTTAACCTTATTTATGGGAATCTCTTTAATTGGTACTCTCTCTATCCTTTTTATTTGTCTAATTTTAATTGGTTACTTGTTTCTTTTTACTTGTTATTATAATATATTTTTAATCTATTATATCCTCAATTTATTTAGAGAATTAATATTTTTTAAAAAGATAAAACATCCCTAATGGAGAAATTACTTTTGAAATTCTATCAATTAATAGGGGTAAAATAATAAATTTACTATGTCAATTATTATTTTCTTAATAAGTGTGTTAAATAAAAAATAGACAAATAAATAGGAATAAAAAGGAGTATTACTTCTTCATCTTTTTTTTTCCCGACATTAATGCCAAACCAAATTCTTCGATAAATTAATTAAATATTTCATTTTATAGGAAAAATAAATACGTTCTAATAAGTAGGTTAAGATTCACTTTCTAAAATATTTTATTTTATTTTTATATTAAAAGAATCAAATTACACTATTTATTCACTTTTACTAGTTTTATTATTGTCTATGTTGGATTTTGTCACTTAAAAATAAAAATTAATATAAATATTTTACCATAATAATAATATTCATTGATGTGTATGTTTATCGTAGAAAATGATTTGACGATTGATTAATTAATGTTAAAAATAAAATAGAAAAAAGTAATCTTTTTAAATATATTAAAAATGACAAATAGAAGAGAAAAAAACATTTAACATCAACAAGATATATATATATATATATATTTTATTTATTCTTATAATTACGTCAATTTCAATTATCATTTTTCAAACAAAGTCTTATCATATTTTAAAACAAAACTTCACTGATTACGTGCTTTTTGTTTGTTTTTTTAAAAAAAAAAGACTTTTTACATATACATAAAACAAAAAAGTTGATATTTTTGGGAGTGTTTGTGTCTGGATAGTCAACACTGGTGTGAGCTTTTTTGACCTTAATAATTTGGTTTCTTCATTGCTTGACCACCACTCCATCATTTCTGCCGGCAAATCATACCTAAATATGTGTATCGTTCGGTTCGATTTGGTTTTAAAAATTATTGGTTTTTATTTTTTAAATATGCTAAATCGATAATCAAAATAATAAAATATTTGTTATTGGTTTTTAGTTTATTGGTTTTGGTCTTTAACGATTCGGTTTTCGATTTAAACAATAAGAAAATGCTTTCAAAACAATTATATGACAAGTCCAACAATTTAACACGAAATAAAAAAAAAAAAGAGAAATCTAATTACTCATTCAGTGCAAAAATATTGCTTAGTATAGTAAAAGTATAGCAAATACGCACAATTCACAGCCCTAGTCGTTGCCTAATCCTTGCCGTCGTCGTTACAAACCCTAGTCGTCGTCGTTCTTAGTTCTTTAGGTTTTTGACATTGTGAACCTAAAGGTAAATGCAAAGAACAGAGTTAATTAAATAATGTTAATTGTGTAGGGTCCTTATAGTTATAGTCAAATATAGTGATTATATTAATATTTTTTGTTTGATACTTATGTATGACTAAAAATTAAAATAGTAAATTATTATATTCTTAATGGGTTATCAGTTAACTCCATAACCCAAATTAAAAAAATCAATATCAAATCGATAACCCAATAATTGTTTTTTTATAAAACCATTAAATAACTGTTAACCCTATAATCCAATAACAAAAACCAATAACATTTTTCGATTCAGTTTATCGATCGGTTCGTTTTTGACACACCATTACCTACTTTTGCCAATCACTTCTATTTTTTCTATCTAAAATAAATAAATTTGTGAGAGGTGACTCATTTTATATAATAATAGAAAATGGATAAACAAAAAGCAAAATAGATTAGATAAAAAACAATATAATTTGAGGGACATATCCTTAATTTTCTGTTGTTAATTTATGAATGAATGTTATAAAAATCTAAGTTAGGACGTCACAATGTTTGAATAAAAAAAAGAGTCTTATCTTTTTGAAAGGAAATGGAGCATCACGGTTGAGATAATTATGAATCTCCTCAATTCTTTTTATATGATTGGCTTTGTTCGATTTTTAAATAAAACTAGTATACGTGCCCGCGTGTTGCGCGTATGATTTAAAATGTAATAATTTTATAATTAAAAAAATATATTATGCACTTAATAGTATATTTAATTTGTTATAATAATAATAATAATATAATAATAAGAATACAAATCATTAACTTATTTATTTGAGCACATTGAATTAATATTATTAGTACACAATTTATTTTAACTATAACTATATCAGCTACGCTTTTAGTTTTATAATATATCAGGTTAAATTCTTTGTAAGGATACTATTAATTTTATGATCATCTTATCTTTGATCAAATATCAAATACTTCAAATATTTTTATTTGTTTGTACTTTATTCATATCGTTTGAATAAAAAAGTATGTTAGTAATTTATTAAATCTAACATTTCATAAGAAATATTTGATATCATAAGATTAGATGGTATGTTGATACATTTTCTATATATATTTTATTGAAAATCAAAAGATTTTACAAAAAGAAATTTCCGTATTAAATTTGTGCTACAATATGATAGAAAATTGATTTAAGGTAAAAATAATCTTAATAAATACAACCCCAGTGAAAGTAATTTTTTTTAAAAAGGAAGTAACCGAATATAAAGGTAAAACTGACATATTGTTGAGATTGTTAGTTTTTAGAAAAATCAATTTTAATAAATTAAAAAGAAACAATAGTTGAGGTAATTTTAAAAATAGTTTTTTTCTTTTGGATATTTGTAAATAATCCAAATGGTTGATTATTATTTTTAATGTTTTAAATATTTTATTTTATGTTTAGTTTTATTATATTTGTCATTGTTTTTATTAACTAAAAAGTAAAAAGATAACAACATTAATATCTTTATTTTGAGTTGATATTATTTCAAATTGTGTGTGCAGTTATCTCCTAGACAAATTTGATGAAGATATGGTTATTATAACTTGAAATTGTTTAAATTATTTTATTTTTAAAATTAGGATTTAATTGTCAGTTTTTTATTTTAAAAAAGAAATTAAAATGCTCAACTTTCACAGTTAATAGGATTCCATAATTCACGGCTAGTTGGTGAAAGTCTTTACGTCGTATTTTATTTTAATTGAAAATAATTTTCAAAATTATCTCCTAGCCAAATTTGATGAAAGTATAGTTGTAACTACTTGGAACAACTCTTTTTTAAAAAAGAAAAAGAAAAAAAGACGAATTAAATTGCTAATATTTTTAGAATATAAAATAAATTTAAAACTATCAATTTTCACATTACGGTTCCATAATTTGTGGATAGTTGGTGAAAGTCTTTACTCATCATTTTTTCCATTTAAATTAATTTTCAAACTTATCACCGATCGAAATTTGCAACACAAATTTAAAACATATTTTTTAAAAAAAATTAAACACAAAATTATAACGTATTTTTTAAAAATTTAAAACTCCCAATTTTCATATTAATGGGATCCATAATTCATGGATAGCTAGTGAAAGTCTTTACTTAGCTTTTATTTTAATTTAAGTTAATTTTCATTCTTATATCCTAGCTATATTTGATGAAAATATGATTAGAATTACATGGAATTGTTCATTTCTTGATTATTATTTAAAATAACGAATTTAAATTTTTGAATGTTTTAAAAATTAAAAGGAAATATATTTATTTTTTAATTTGTTTTAAAATATGTAATTTTTCGTAAATATTCCTCTTTCTTTAGATCTTTTAAAATTTGCAACTCAGAAACAAATCTTACACATTTAATACAAACTAACAAACAACAATTAAAAAAAAAACCACATAAGAAAATCTATATTACCCACATAAAACTTTTGTGGGTAATAAATCTTATCTCTTTACATATTATAAAGAAAAGAAAGTTTATGCAAATTATATATTATACGATTTACAAATTATCACTTATATTTATGTTTTACTTTATGAATTTTCAACATAACATTGATATATTTACCTGGACATTTAAAGAACGAATGAAGTGTGATAGTCCGACAAATACAAATCATCACATTATGGTGATGAAATGAAACTATCAATGTTTATTCCTTTACCATTGCCAGTATAATCTTGAAATGATCCTAAATGAAAAATGATGATATACTTTGTTGTATTTCTTTTATCATTTCAGTCATTGTATGTTCCTTCTTGATCTTCTTTTTCTTCTTCTTGATCTCCTTCGTCATCTTACTATTTCTTTTGTTGTCCACTTTAATCTTCATTGTTGTAATATCGATAACATCAACGTCGTCGTCATTATCATTGTAGTCGTTGTTGAAATCGTTGTCATATTAACGTTTTCAATATCATCCGATAAATAAATAAATTGCAAGCAGATATATGTCAACTTTCATTTATATTAATATTAATATAGAGAGATAGTACTATTATCTTCATTTATATGTAAATTAAATATAGTTAAATACATTTATTAACATATGAAAAGATAATTTTGTGAAATAGTAAGAGTTTATTTAGAATTCTATGAACATGAGTATCTAGTTTTAATTAAGTTAATATTTTTT